TCAGCCTCACGCCTGCAGGGGCAGGGGTGGGTGCCCGTCAAAAGAAAACCAAGTGCTAGCTTTGCTGTGTTTGAAAACAAAGTCGGCTCCTTACAAGTCCCTATATGTTTATTTCTAAGTGTTTTCCTTATTTCTGTTGCTATTGTAAATAGTTTTTTCCCTAACTTAATTTGACTTGTTTATTAGTACACAAAAATGTAATTGATTCTCGTATGTTGATCTTGGACCCTGCAAACCTGCTGAACTCAGGTTTTAGTTCTGAAAGACTTTTCTGTATGGATTCCTTAGGATTTTCTACATACAAGATGATGTCTTTTGTTGGCAGAGGCAGTTTTATTTTCCTTTCCAACCTGGATACCTCGTATTTCTTTTGATTGTCCGCTTGTCCTGGCTGGAGCCTCCATCACAATGTTGAACAGAACAAATGAGAGCAGACACTCTTGTCTTGTTTTGATCTTCGAGGGAAAACTTCCAGGATTTGAAGTAGAACACCAGCTCTGGGGCTTTGGTGGATGTTCTTTATCAGCTTGAGGAAGTTCCCCCCTCTTCCTAGTCTGTTGAGTGTTTTTAACAAGAAATGTTGTTGGATTTTGTGTCTGTTGCAATGACTATGTATTTTTTCGTCCTTTATATTATTAATATGGTATGTTGCAGTGATTTCTTTTCACATGTTAAACCAACTTTGCCTTCCTGGGATAAATCCTACATGATCGTGGTGTGTAATCCTTTATATATGTTTCCAGATTTCATCTGCTCATCATGATTGAGAATTTTTTGCACTGACATTTCTGAGACACTGTTGTTGTTTTCGCTCTCAGTGAGCTGGAGAAAGTCTTAGGTGAGTTGCAAGAACCCAGTGTTCTTGTAGTTACCAGTATTCCACTGAGCTGCAGCCTCCTTGAAGGGAAACCACGACATAAACTTTAAAATAAATAGATACATTTTGTCTCCCACTAAACTAAGGTTAAACATGCTTAGTGAAGACAGTGTTCCCTTTGTTGTTGGATGAAAATTCTGACAGGCGAGATGACTTTTCTGCTAACTCCTTTGTGACAGAAAGACCCAGATCACGTTCCTTCTCAATAAAGTTTCAATTCAGTAACTTAATACATCCAGTGCCTGAAAGTCAATATTTCTAAGTTGACTTAAAGCTAAATCTTCTCCTTTCCTGAAGTTGAGGCTCTACTGAATAGTATTATTGTGTGTGTGTAAGAGAGAATGAAAGATTCTTTTTCTGCAAGAATGTCTTCTTCCCCAATTTAAGTCTTTCCTCACAACCAGTACTATGTCTGTGACTAGAGACAGGTTTAATTCAGGAATTAAAATACTAAAGACACTATGTATAACTGCCATGTGACAAGTGGAAACTAGATAATGAGAAACTTATTTATATAACTTTCTAATTTCAATCCATTTAACAGTCTGAACCCAAATGAGAATTATCACACAAAGTAAAATATCCAGGCTGCCGGGGCTGGATGCCCATTTGAAGGCCTTAAGACGAGAAACAACCGCTTGGAAAAGGTGTGTTATATTGTCCACAAGGCACATTCTGAAACTATTACAGAGAATGTCTTAGAGCACAGAAGCTGTTCGAGAGGCTTGTGGTGTAGATGATAGAGACTGAGGGCTTTGGCTCTGTGAATTATGATTGGAGACATAAGGAAGAATCAAGGTTTTGTTTCTAGGGGATAAGAGCAAAATTGACATTTTTTAGAAAACAGAGTAGAGAGGTGGACATGTTCACTTCTGTTTGCATGTGTGGAATTTCGCATGTATGCACATCATCTGATTAATCTATGTGGTAAGAAACAGTGATAAAATCCTCTGCCTATTGATTAAGATTATGAGCCAATTTAAATCACTTTCCAATTGCCCTTCATTTAATTTATATTTCTAGGCCCCAAAGAAACCACATTTCTGCTATGATAGAGATACTTCTGTTTAGAGGCTAAATAACATACCAGGATCTACTGGAAATTAATGCATTAATACTTTTCCACAGGCATTTTAGGTAGGCGATGTCCTAGAGTGCAAATATTAATATTCTTGTAAAAACTGCATGGCTGGTTTTGACACAGGAGTTTTGGCCTTGGCATTTCTTCCCAGTAGCAGATTATCATACATAATTCCAGGTTTTTCACACTCCTTCCAACAGGCTGGCAATGCAGGTGGTGTGTTCTCTCTCGTGACCTTGGTTTTCGCTCTAGCGCTCTTGACCAGGCTTCCGTCCAAACTCTAGGGGTCATCGCTGAACCTTACTGTTGTTACATCTGTTTGATACCTTAGTACGTCCTTTTTATCTTTCAGTCCTTGGATGTCTAATTACCAATTCTTTGTACCTAATTCCCTTGAGACACCAGCTGGTGTGGCTCTGACTCCCAGTGGGTGCTGACCGACACACTCGCCCTCCCTTGTCCCAGCATCTACGTCACGAGGCTGGAGGGGCACCCTGTTATGCTCTGTGGGGCTGGGGCAGAAGGGAAAGGTTAAGGTCTTTCACTGGGGCTGGAGGTCAATGGCCGGGTCATATCTGAGGAGATGTGCTCACGAGTGAAGAGAATCATGTCCAAGAAGGTCATCAGAGATGAAGGCTGGAGTCAAGAGTTGCTGAGGTTCCGCAGGAACGGGTCTCGGGAGCCTGTGCTGCCGTGTGGGGACAGCTGTCATGCCTCGGAGGTGGAGGGCTGACTTTCCGGGATATTAGGAACCATCAGGAGAGGGCTGCCGTCCCCCAGGGACTTTTGGGGAAGCCAGGAGAACAGAGTCACGATGTCCAGGACAGTTAGTAGTGGGCACTGGGGGCCAGGGACACGCACAGGTGGACAGAACACCACCCCCTAGAGACGTAGAGGGGGAGAGGTCCCGGGGGATTCCCAGGGGCTGCTGGGCATCTTGGGACTGGGGGACACAGTGATGGTCCACACGTCATGGGCTCATTATTTGCAGTTAAGACTGTCTCCCCACACTGGTGTGGGTGTAGCGTGTAGCTTTGGTCCAGGCCACTTGGGGTCTTTCCACCAGTCACCCTTGCCTTTGGGACAAGCTGGAGAATTAAAATGAGAAGCCGTTAGACATCTATTATCTCCAAGGCTAATCCCAGAAGGCGGTCACTCGAAACCAGGAAGAGAAGCCGGTCATCATGCGCCGCAGACGTGGAGGGTTCGTGCTGCTGACTAAGCGCTGAGGGCAAGTTTGGGGTATCATCTCCCGAAGAAGGGAATGTGGTACAGCCACCCCCGGATCCGCAGGACGACTGTATCCCATTCCTCTAGTCAGAACCATTCACTCACATCAGGAAACTTTGAAATAAATGAATAAAGGCATTCTAACTAACGCTCTGGTTTGCATATACTGAAAAACTTAAATGTAAATGGGAATCCAAACATTGTGATGTCGGGCCTTCCCGAGACAGGTCCACTGGTTGGCGGTCCAGGGGTCTTTCTTCGCTGAGTCACTCAGGTGACAAACCCGGTGAATTCTAGGTTTATGATTCTTCAGGTCAAGCTGGAACTGAAAGACACGGGTGCCATGATCTGAATGCACAGTCTTCCTAGGGTTTATGAATTTCTCCTCAAGCATTCGTGTCCCCAGCTCACCGGACGGTGCTCACTGGGACAGCTTTGGGTTTGCAAAGTATTAAGCTTAGTTTTCATCATAGTGATTCCATCGGTCTGCACTCAGTGTACCTGTTTACTTAGTTAAGTTATGTAACAATAAGAAGTACAGATGGCATGTCCCCATTTGAGACAAGGTCATGCACTCTTGGTGAGCTCCCGTCTCCGCAGGTGGGAGTAGAATTCTCCAGGCTGACTGGGGACCAGACCAGTGGCCCGGGTGCCACCAACATGGATGAAGATGTTTCACAGAGGGGACAGAGGACATCCTGAGGTGGGAACTCAGAGTCGCCGTTTGTTTTGCACGAGTTAGCAATCCAGAAAATAACACCTAGCCGTGTTTTACACGTAGGCTGCATGGACGCTAGCACATTGAAGAGAATAGATGTCTGTGGGTTGTTCTCCAAGGCTTTAACACACTGTTGCTTTTGCAAGTGCTTTTAAAAATTCTCTTTTTTTTTTTTTGTATGGCTGGAGATGTGAGTGCTTTGAATCAAAGTAACTTTATATGGGGTGAATATATAATTCCATGTGGATGCATATGATTGATACAATAAACGTAGTCATTTTAGGGTGTTGTTTTTGACTATCTGCTTTAGAGATATAAGAATCTGTTAAGTTCTTTTCAATTTATGATTCACTAAAATCATGTGGCAAAAATGATGAAGTGTCTGCCACCCAATGCACATTGCCTGAAGCAGAATCACAGCTAGTAACATGAAGAGCATAGTAGAGACTTTGGCTGAAATGCTTCGGGACTGTCTGAACCCCGCGTCAGACACAGACGACACGCACATGCAATATGCATGCTAAACTGAGCAAAGGGTTCCAACTCTCAGACTAGCTACTTCTCGTTCCACAGTATTTTCCAGTAGTTGAGGCCTTTTTTCTGCCTGTGAACCCCCATCTTTCTTCTTGCTTATTTGTGTGTGTAGTACCTGGATTTCTTGTTACCATGTTCCCGCTGGGATTTACTCTTTTCCTGCTCACCCTCACGGGGTAACCCCAGGCAACCTTATGAAGTAGGCGTAGGATGTCAGCACTTTTAGATTCAAGTGAAGCTGTTTAGATTCCTCCAGCATTGCCAGTGCGTTTATTGAACTAATGCATATTCATTGCTTCCATTTGAGGGACTGTAAATTATTCAGACACCTTCAATAATATATTTTCTGTGTACCATTCAGGCCACTCTAGGATAAGATGAAGACCTCACCTTTTTCCTAACTTGGAAATATTTTTTATGTAAATTCTTTCATATTCCTCAGTACTTTTCATCATGATGGTCTGATTTTGAAGACTTTCTCTTGAAGGTTGGTGACCATTTCAGATTCAAAGAGATGATGGACTGTGGTGAAACTGCACTGACACTCAACAGTAAAGCACTGCTGCGTTGCTTATGCCGTAGCCTTTTTCCCTAATTGAAGTATGGTTGATTTACAGTGTTGTGTTAATTTCGGGGGTACAGCAAAGTGATCCACTTTTATATGTGTATATATAGATTCTTTTCCATTATAAGCTATTACAATATAATTCCCTGTGGTCTACAGTAGGTCCTTGTTGTTTTTCTATTTCATATATAGCCATGTGTATCTGTTAAT